CTGATGACCACGTTTCGAGCACGAACTACTGCCAATCATGATCATATCAAGTTACTCACACAAATTTTTCCTTGATTTATATACATGTGTGGAATTGACTAGATATTTTAATAAAAATCAATATACAATAATGTCCATTCAGAAATAATAATAATATGAGTGTTATCAATCAAATACAATCAGACGGGAAAATAAGACGAGTGTTTTTATAGTCATAATAAGTAACTTGTTAGAATGTTGTGATGTGCTTGAATTGAAATAGAATTTTAAGATTATTTATTATCCTCCTCTGATTTGACTGACTGACTGACCGGTGGTAACAATATCTTCCAGGCATATCTCTGGTATTTGCATTGAGTCATTTCTGTTGCATATGTTGTGTTGTGTGTAGACTCAATGAGCCAAGTAGGATTTAGTAATCAATCTCTCTCTCTATCCACCTACCTATATTACCTTTTTAGAATTTTAACTCTCTCCCAACCATTCTATTGTGTGGTTGTGTGTTAATGCATGCAGTGCATTGTAGTGCTAAGCTTTTATCTAAATTACTTATCTTTGTGGGATCAATCGTTCTAACCTTATCTAAATTCTTATGTTCTGATAGGCAGTGTGACTACCTGCGATCTACTAGTTTGACTGACTTATGTAGTTGACCTAACTCACAGTCATTGCAAGGTATTTAGTAAATTATATTATTTTTTTACGAGTTGATCACGGATTGATATTAGTTAGCGCGAATCACGAATTGTTAGAAGTTAGAATTAATGAGCCACTGAATCGGGTCCCAGTGGCTGAATGGTATACGAGCCAGCTTGCCTTGTAACCGGAAGGTCCTTGGTTCGAATCCCAGTGAGTGCGTACTGCCAATGATTCCCAAACCAGGATGAAACAGCAGCTGTCCAGTACTCCCCGGTTTTCAATGGTTCTCTAACTGATATCAATCCGTGTTCAACTCGTAAAAAAAAACATAACTAACCCTTACAAACCAAACTATACAAAATTATATTACTTTGTTTAATTGGGTCCACTGGGACCTTCAGCCTACGGAGCTTGTCCTACCTGAATGCCACCCTTATTCCTGCTTTATTGGTAATCATACGTAGGGCCTCAGATGTCCCCTCCTCATATGGTATAACCGCAGATGCCTTATATTCTCTCTTATATATGTTATCATTATTAGTTTCACCATTATTTTTATTTCGCTTTTAACCTTTACTGATCTTCCTTAGGAATTTTATACCATAGTTATTTAACACCAACGCCTCTTCTATCTGTTTTATTTCATCATTTAGGTTTTTTCTTGTACTACTTAGTGCTACTGCTTGGTTTGTTAGACACTTAACTAAGCCTGCCTTCACATACAGATAACGGATGAGATGAATTAAAGTCTAAATATCTATTAGTAGAATGCGTTTGCTTTTTATAAATCATAGTGTGCAGTTTACCTTCTTCTGTTTGTTTTATTTTACAATCTGACTTCATAGCCAATTCTCCTGTGCGTCGGTGGCACAGTGGTTAGGACTCTCGCCGACCATGCACATGGTCCAGGGCTCGATCCCCTGCCGAAGCACACCTGATATCTATGGTCAGCCTGCAAAATTTGGGCCACCAATATCCATGTTGAAAATTCCACCAAAAATACAGTGTGGAATCAAGCTGTAATCAAAAGATAAAAATTAAAAAAAATAAAAATTTTCCAATTGAAATGTGAACTTTATTCCCTCTATTAGTGAGCATATATGTTTCAAGAAGCTGGAGAGAGATATGTTCTGTTTTTTCAACACTATGTGAAAGTGCCATCTACATAGATATTCACCATATTATCTTTGGAGTAGGATTAAATGTATTAAGAGCCATATTTTCCCAGCTGTCCATAAATATATCTGCTACGAATCGGGATACTGATGATCCCAATGCTACATCTTCTGTTTGTTTATCCATAATGGTGTTTTTGGTTTCCGTGTGGAATCTAAGGCTTCAAGCTTTGAAATTCTAGTACCATTTGGGCTGGCTTTCACGTGTACAGATTAATAATCTTACACTCAAACTGTTCTGTATTCCAGGCATGCCAAGGAATAGTAAACTTGGAGAAATGTAGAAATACGTCGAGTGGGAACTACACCCCCACCTCACGTATTCTTGATATATTATACAATGTTTAAGCATCTTCAATACAATTTATTACTCATAAGTATTTTAATCATATGGATTTCAAACTTTCATCCTGAGGCGTTCGGGAGTAAAAGATAAACTGCCTAATTTCACCTCTTCCATGTGTGTGTGTGCATCTATCAATCTGACTGTTCCTGTGAAGTCAATTATTTACATTGGCCGTACAATTAGCCGTGTTTCTCGTCGGATTTCTGCTGCGTTGTTGGTTAAGTAAAGAACAAACAAAATCTACTTGTAGCGCAATTCTATCTCATCTTGTGGATACAGAACACAAGATTGACGTTAACCATGCTTTCAGGATCATTTGCCGCATACCTATGAATCTTAAATTCGCCTTAAGCGTTCGTTTACAAAATATTTGTGAGGCTGGCTGTTGGGATCCACATTAAGAAGCCTAATTTATGTGTCGAAAAGAAGCTAGCTGGTCCAGACATTTTCCTAACCCACTTGGCCATCTAGGTTCGAATGATCCACAGTTTGTTGTTTTAGAGATTTCCTTAATTTTAGTTGATATTCTATTTGCTAACATATTTTTATTATTATTATTTAAGCACCTTTAATGAACTGTAATTCCATTGATCTTACTTTACAAATCGATATTATTTAAAAAAAACACTAATATTGTCATTGACTACTATTCTAAAATATTCTATGTATATAAGCATATGTATATAGTTGTAAAACAAGAAGAGGAAATTATCGGAAAGGATATTCTTTGCTCAATTATGTCGCTTTGTTAATGATTATTTAACTGTAATCTACCACTGTTCAGTTTCTGCTCTTGTACTAATACATAACGTTATTAATTTAAATGGGAGTTTGTGTGTAATATAGTACGACATTTTAAGTTCACAAGGTGGTGTGCAAATACTTACAGCTCAAACTGTGAATATTTTGGCATTTTTAACCCTCTAGGATTTTTAGACTCGATTTACACAGCTTCTTACAGTAATCCAAGTATAGTTTTCAATATCTATATTCACGAAAAGGTAAATTTATTGAATTTTTTTATAAATGTGCGCAAGAGACATGATCGATACTTATCTGTTTCTACATCGTGTTAACAGACCGCTTCTGAAAAGAACACTGAATGGTGGTTGTGCTTGCTCACGAATATATAGAATTTCAAGCCAGTGCCCGAATGATACGATTATCACCTCACCCCCTTAATCTAAAGCGGTTAAGTTCGATCTTACAATAAATCGTGATTGCTTAGTTCTAAAGATTCCTTAAATCAGAAAATAAAAAAAAATGTCTCTGGTTCCTGATGCTTTCCGGACTAATGTCACTTCTTGAATTAATTAAGTACGAAGTTCTAAATTTTCGATTTGTTCCAAGTTTGCCCACCAGTAGCATCACCTGTGAGTATGTGTCCTAACTCCGGACCGGATGATCACAAGGTCTTACCCCAGTCAACTTCTTTGTGTAGTCAGTAGTCACTAGCAAGCATCAGATTATTATTCGAGAGTTAGTTTGTAGCGTTGATGAGATTGGCTTACAGTGATAGTGCTAAAATCACAAATTGGTAGAATTTCGAATTAACGGGTTGACCATTAATGATTGTGACTGAACATTCCATGAAATTATCTTATAACTGAAAGGTTATGGTTTCGACTCTCCTTGGTGTGTGTGTGACTAACTCTGAGGTGTCCCAAACTATGGTGGATGGAAGAGCTGTCTGCTACTCCTTGCCGACTTTCAGCGGCCAAACAAAATACATTTGAAAATGATACAAGAAACTGAATAATTAATGCTCTCCAGAAGATTATGTAATATAAGCAAAAACTGAGGTTAGAGAATGACTCAACTCTTAATAATTCCAGGGAATCCATTATTATATTATTATTATTGCCCCCTTGGGTCCCTAGTGGAACATATAGGGCTTCAACTGCACGTCTCCACTTGCCAATTCTGTCTTCCTTCTGCTGTACTTTTACCCTCCATCCATGCATGTTAGTCCATACTCTTTCAACTCCTCCATGTCACTCACCCTTGCACTGACGACCCACTGGCCGCTTCCCTTTCGGCCTGGTTCTACTCGACCAATGGCCTGACGCGCGCGCGATGTCACCCAGTGGCGGCCTCCTCAGCTGCGAGTATGCAATCCATCTCCCTCCCCTTTCTCAAGCATATTTGTTGGTTGGCGATTGCTTCTTGTTTCGTTTGTTTCTTCCCAGCCATAGTTTCTTGTTGGTGATTGTTTCCGGCCCGACCATCTGATCTTCAGTATAGAGCCAGCGAAGACAGTTATTGATAAAGGTCTGCATGCAACTGGCTGTTGGAAATATTCTTTGTGACCCGCCCACCAAGTTTCTGATCCGTATAGAAGTGACTGACTTGATGTTGTTTGTATTGAAAATCCGACCGAATTTTGTTGTTGATACTGAGTGACGAATATTTCCAGATTGGTTTCAAGTTGATGAACAACATGTTTCTCGCCTTCCCGATTCTCGCTCGATTTGACATCCTCGTCCGTTCCGACTGCGTGTAGTTGAGACAATGCTCCCTAGATCAGTGAGTGAATGAAGTAACCTCTTTCAAATCCCTCTCTCCCGTTGATGGTGATTGACGTTGGATGTTGCTCCTGTTGTTGTTGTTCGTTGGTTGGTTATTTTCATAACCTCCGTCTTGTCTATGTTCACCTGCTGCTTCTTCAACCAGTTTGTCGAAGTAATCCATTAGAAGTGTCTTAATATAACCTCCACATAAGACACTAGTTAGAAGTCATTCATCCAACGACCGATTTCTGACAGTTCGATAATTTATCTTTACACTTTTTCATTGTCAAAACTTTATATTTTTATCTTTGTATATTTTTACAATTTCAGAATCACCATACTGATACCAATCCTAGTGGAAATACTCATATCGGCACAAATATATCTGACGACTTGTCATCACATCCTACTTTACTATCTTTGTCATCACAACATCAAGTGCCTAGACAAGAGTTACACGGGAGTTATTCAACAAAAAACCTTCAAAATCACCCCTATCCTCTTACTTCTGTATTTCATAATCCTTTAAAAAACCAAATACGTGACTACGCCAAATCAGAAGCATTAAAACAAATCTCTTGCACAAGTAAAATTAAAAATAATAATAATAAACCTACTAAACTATTCCAAAACAGTGTCGACAAATGCCCACTGGACATACTCAACCATCATCAACACCATCCGCAAACGATTTCATTTTGCTCAAACTTTTCTAAATCACAGTTAAATAATCAGCGGAAACGTATCTATGCCTTCGGAACGATAAAATCTAAAACCTCCCTACAACAACATTCATCAAAACGCATGAAAAGATCGAATGGCGGAAGTCATGTGGATTTACGATTGAAACTCTTCAAAAATCAGTTGTCTGATCCAAACTCATCCAAATTCACAGTACCCAACAACAAAAAGAATCATCCAATAAAGATACAAGCACCAACAAAGCAAATCGATAGTCGACATTCGAATCAGAAAGGAACTAAACCTGGCGATAGCCTTCAGCTTAAAATGAAAGCAGAAGAAAAAGTCAATACTTCTATTTTTCTTGAAATTGACACATCTTTCCATGTGAATAATTCAATCGGTTATAAAAAGACTACTGATAACGGGGATATTCGTAGTAGTCATCATTTAACGATGGAGTCATTAGAAGAGATAAATCATAGGCATGATTTAAAAAATATACTTAAGAAAACGTATGATGATGGACAGGCATCCTCCTCCTCATCAGCGAAACAGACACCGATGATGTCTTCTGATGATTATAACAGACTATTCTACAAATACAGTAATAATAATCACTGTCTGATACAAGAGCATATAAAACGGAAATTACAGAAGTTATCTACTTCACCAATAGGTGATACTTCACAGTTCAGTTGCTACTCTTCAGAGGTTAACAATGATAAACCATTAGATTTACGTAATCCATTACAATTGCCGTGTAATATCTTATCATCGAGGAATAATACCTCCGATGAAAATGTTGATACAAGGAATTCTTTACTGAAAAATACAAATTTAAATGAATTTTGGTCATCCCTTTTTATCTGGATGAATAGGAAACGAAATGAACAGAGAGAGAATATTCAGGGTAAGTTTTTATGAGAATATAAACTTTATTTAATGGTTAATATTTGGTTGAATCCAATGACTTTCATGTATTTATTATGAAATGTGTTCATTCACTGTATTCTACATATATATACAGTACCCTGTATACAAAGGTAAATACTCCTCTGCAGTGTTCACTGAATCTGGTGTCCCCCAAGGTGCTGTACTCTCCCCACTTCTCTTTTCTTTCCTTCTTTCTTTCTTTCTACATGACTTACCATCTTCAAATGACATTAATTTTGTTAAATATGCTGACGACCTGACTGTATCCTCGCCTGCCTGTCAAATATCAAAGTGACTGCGCCAAACTAAATGGCTTTCTATCAGAAATCAGCCAGTGGTCCAAGGAAAAGCGGTCTTACCTTACACCCCTCCCCCAAATGCCAAACAGTCGATTTCACCTCCTTAAGGCATAAATCTCACTGACCTAAACAAACTGGTGGTTAGCACTCACGAGGCGTGCAACATAGATAGATGATGGCACTGAAATAGAGAGAGACCAAGTCGGAAATTTAAAAAATATCTTGGCATCATTCTATCTGCTGATCTTTCCTGCTCGTCCCATACCTTGATGATGATTTCGAAGAAAATATTCCGTCTTACCTTCTACATCAAGAAGTTAAGACATTTTGGAATAACCCAACCCAACCCTTGCTCCTACAATTCGTTAACTCTCGCATTCTGCCTATTATTCTCTGTTGTTCCCCCTCAGTTTTTCCTGGGCTGGCTACTGAAGAAAGACTATACCTCATTACGCAGGATGTTAAAGGTTGTCAGAAGGGTTAGCTACAAGCCACTTAACCAGCTTGTTAATATTCTGGTTGACAGGCACTTGAACTCATGTGAAAAAATGGGCTAAATCCATTCTATCTATCTAACTCACATCACCCTCTTCATTCACAATTCTACCCTTGTATCTCATCAGACAGAACCAGAAGTCTATACAGAAAACTATATGCTCGCACTAGAAAGTACAAAAACTCAACCATACCCTACCTACTTAGCTCGTATTCTGTGCGATAAAGAGAGCATTAGGCGTGATGCCTACAACTTATTAAATAGTCAGTAGAACAACTGGATCTCGTCTTTCCAATTCATATCATTTATATGTACAACGTTTTCTTTCTTTTCCTTTTCTCTCTCTTTTTTCTGTTATGTGCTGCTTTGTTTCTTTCTTCCTTACAAACTCTATTAAAAACTTCTTCTTCGTTCTCTCACACTCTGTATATCTCGATCTTTTTGTTACCGCTTACGCCAGTAAACATGCTAGCATCTACTTTTCTAGCACCTTCAAACACTCTGTTCAATTTCGGCTTTGCTACCGACATGCCAATATGTTGTTGTCATAATGAACTGAGATTTCCTTAATCTATATAGAATTTTATTTGTTGACAATGTACAAACTGGAAGCAATAATGTAGTAAAATGCAGAGAATTCCATTCTGTATCACAAGTACTGTTTTGGAATAAAGTAAATCATTATTATGATGTGTTATTTACAAATTATATAAGTGTAGTAGAGAAGTTTGAATAACCTTAAGAATCATATCGATTGTAAACTTATTATTCCCACCTATCCTCTGCAGTTCTCTGGACAGCTAACCCTACGATTGCCTATTGTCTTTCATCTATTCCTCAAATAATCCCTTCTATGCCACCCTTCAGAACCACGGTCATCTTGCCGTTCTTTCCTCGGGTTCCACTCAGTATGGATCTCCTCAGTATGTGTCCGATTCATCTTCATTTTCTTCGACAATATTTTTTTTAGACAAAAGACCAGTAGTTCAACGAAGAGTCTCTTTCCGACGGCGAATTCTTTTTTATAGCTGTACAATCGAATATATATATACGGTTATTTTGTGCATGTGTGTGTACATTAAATTTGTCAAGCGAAAATATAATTATTAAGTTCAGATGAATTGGATGTTGATATAAGAGGGTAGTAACAAAAGTGATTAGTTGTCACAAACGATTGTTAAAGAAGAGTTACGTAGTAAAGTAGTTAGAGAAATAAGCATTCAGACGAAAGTTAGTTCAAATCAACGGCGTTGTTACCATGATAGTAGAAGTGGTTGAATAATAAGTGGTTGAAAACGGTTATCCATCAATATCCGACGCATCTGCAGCTCTGATACCCTGGAAGAAGAACTACACTTCCTGAAAGAAATCTTCATACAAAACGGTCATCCATCGGGGTTCATAAACAAAAACGTCAAACAGAAATTCCAAAAGCAAAAGACGCCATTCGTGCCCAAAAGGATACTTTATATGAACCTCTACTTCAAAGGTGACCTACTCAGTGATGTCCTTAGGAGGAGAATTTCCACTTCTTTAAGAAGAACTTTCTTTGCAGCAACGCTGAGAGTAGTGTTCTCCAGTTGCCCGCTGATCTGTAGTAGCCCAAAGGACAAGATCCCACACCTGTTCACTTCTATTTGTATATATCATTTCACATGTTGCTGTGGAGCCAGGCACATCGGTCGTTCAACGCGCATCATGTCAAAATAGGTCAAAGAACACTATCCCACAGCATGGCTGCAGAAAGGAAGTAGTGACTGTATAAGGAGTGCGATAATCGAACATCTCGTCACCGCTGGTCATTCCATCTCAACAAACGCCTCCTGCTTCAAAGTAATCTACAAAGTGAAGAACAACCCGCCAAAGACAATACATTTCCCTCTTCTTTGCATTGCAGAATCCCTAGCTATTTAGTTGGAAGAAACAGAACTATGCATGTAAAAGAAAATTATTCAACCACTTCTACTATCAGGGTAACAACTCTGTTGATTTCACTTAACTTTTGTCTGTATGATTATTTTTTTGACTACTTAAAACTCTTGCTTAATTCCGTTTGTTATTTTTTTTGCATGTACATCCTGAGCACAATCTTTCATCAAAGTGTTCACGTTACTACGTAACTCTTCTTTAACAATCGTTTATGACAACTCATCACTTTTTTTACTACCCTCTTATATCAATCAACATCCAATTCACCTGAACTTACCAATTGTATTTTCGTTTGACAAATTTAATGTACACACACACACACACAAAACAACCATATATATTTTCGATTGTACAGCTATGGAAATGAATTCACTGCCGAAAAGAGACTCTTCGCTGAACTACTACTGGTCTTCTGTCTATTAATGTTCGAATGGAAATTTTGCATGAATATATTTTTGAGCAAAAGATTTCTGACTGATTCGTTCCCAGTGTCCCTAATGCTATTGTCTTCTGACTGTTGATAAAAAAGTCTGCAGTGGCCTGTTAGAAATACTTTTCTTTGATGTGTTTGCCATGTCTCTGACCTATATAGAAGCCCCGACTGGTTTAACACAGTGGTTTTAGGATTTCATCATGAGCTGACATTAGTTAGAGAACCATTGAAAACCATCATCTGCGAGTACTGGACAGCTGTTTCCTCCGTCCTACTTTGGGACTCGTCACCAGTATGTACCCACCGGGATTCGAACCCAGGACCTTCTGGTTACAAGGCTAGTGGGCTCGTAGACCATTAAGCCACTGGGACCCAATCCAGTGGCCCATGAATTCTAACTTCTGCCAATTCACGACATAGCGCGACCCCTAGCCAATGTTTTCGGCGAGTATTTGTCCTCACACACGACTTGCTGCACCCCACTGGTCACGACTTCTCACTAGAACCCCAGGTAACTTCCTACCTGAACAGGGCAAGTCGCTAGTGAACATCTCAGCTGCCCAGTACTCCCAGGTTTTCAATGGTTCTCTAACTAATGTCACCTCATGATGAAATCCTGTAACCAATCAATCAAATCCCTACAAACCAACAGTTGAATGTGCGTACTGCTCAACAGTCCTAAACTAGGACAAAACAGCCCTTCAGTACTCCCAGATGATGGTTTGTAATGGCTCTCTAACTAATGTCAGCTCATGATGAAATCCTGTAACCAGTCAAATCCCCACAAACCAACACTTGAATAACAGTGGTCTTAAAAAGGCGAATTTCGAAACTGATTTTATAAAGGAATGAAGGTGTCTGTCTTGCCTTTTCGATCACAGTTTTTGCATACTGTAGTTAGCAGCGACCCTGCCAGGTCGGATAAGTGAAAAAGTGACCTCTTTCAAATTTATTCCGTTTATAGTCATTGGTGCTTGTTGTTGTTGGTTGATTGGTGGGTTCGTTGGTTGTCTTCATCACTTTCGTCTTCTCTGTGCTCATTTGAAGTCCTCTCCTGTCTCTTCTGTCAGCTTGTTGGGTTTGTGTGACATTAGACATAAATCTAATTAGATTTTAAATTTTCCCTTCTACTGATTGGAACGAAGTGCTCGGTCTCAGCTTGACATGTCGGCTTCTCGCACAGATGCCTCGACGATGCCTGGGCATTTAGTTAGTATTTAATTGGTGTATGTTGACTAGCGGTGGAATCCAGGATGCGCCACATTTCGTCCTATTTGGGACTCGTCAACCACCTGGATGCATCTGAATTCCGCAGTAAGTGATGATGTTCCCACTGAGGAACGAACGCAGTGCCCGTATTTTCACATGCTCAAGCGTTATCCATTAGACCACTTGGACCACGAGAACTGGCCACCTTTTGTGCAACGGGTCATATTAATTATCACAAGAAGCCGACATGTCAACCTGAGACCAAGAACTTCAGTCTAATCAATCGGCGGGAAAATTTAAAACTGAATTGAATAATTTAAAATGACCCGTTGCAAAAGTGGTGACCAGTTATCGTGGTCTAAGTGGTCTGGTGGATAACGCTTTCGATTTTGAAATTATGGGTACTGAGTTCGAGCCTCAGTGGAAAAATCATTACTCACTGCGGAATTCAGGTGCGTCCAGCCGGCGAACGGGTCAGAAATAGGATGAAATGTGCGTTGTCCTGCATTCCACTGCTAGTCACCATCCACCAATTAATGTCTTTGACATAAATCGTCTGAGAACTTCAGGTCTTCCAAAGTCTTCTTATAAGTGCAAGGTATTGCTGTCTT